CACGAAAAATGGCAGCCGCAGCTCTCTCCGCCCGACCCAACCGCCTTAGCTCAGCCGTCTCCGATGTTCATCTCCACCCTCTCTATCTTCCTTCTAAGCTCAATTCCCTTTTCTTTCCTTCCGTTCAGTCTCAGCCGTGGCGCTCCGCCGCGATTCTCTTACCTACGCGACGGCGATGCGCGGCGGCGAGAGCTAGTTCTCGCGCCGACGATTCTCCGCCTTTCGATATGTCTGTTGAGACGGCTCTTAAGGTACTCGGTGTCTCTGAAGGAGCTTCCTTCGACGAGATACTTCGTGCTAAGAAATCGATCCTTGCTTCTCGTAAAGACGATCCCAACGCCATCTCTCAGGTTACTCTCTCTCCGATTGGTTCCAGGGTTCATCGTCGAATTGAAGTTCCTCGATTTCAGCTTAGTCTGCTTTCTTCTGATGTCTAGCTTGTATCAACATGTTCCTAAATTTGGTTAGGTTTCTCTAGTTTTAGCTTCGGATTTAGACGAATCTCTCTTGAATACTAAGCTCAAGGCCAGAAAACCATCATGGAGATTAGATAGATTCTTTCTTGCTCTTGAATTTCTGTAGCCTCACTGTGAATTTCATTCATTCCTTCTTCTCAGGCGGAGGCTGCATATGACATGTTGCTGATGCAGAGCTTAAACCAACGCCGAGCAGGCAAAGTTGTGAGCAACAACATTCGCTACGCCGATGTTAAATCCAGTAACCCTCTGGGAACAGGTACTGTATCTCAATGGATGAAGAATCCACCTGTCTCTATTGATATGCCATCCACGAGCGATCTGGGGATACAAGCCGGAGTCTATGGAGCAATGATGGTCTTGACTTACGTGAACGGGAGTTCCATAGAGTCTTCAGGAATGCCTTATGCCGGGGCTGATGTGCCCGGACTGATATTGGCTAGCAGCTTTGGAGCTTCACTATACTTCATGACCAAAAAGAATGTCAAGCTAGGTAATGATAACATCTTTTCATCTTCTTCTGAGCTCACCGCAAGTGCGAACAACTCTGATGCAGTTTTGTGTGTTGGTGCAGGGAAAGCAGTTGCGATAACGGCAGGAGGACTAGTGGTTGGTGCAGTGGTGGGATCGACCATAGAGAGCTGGCTGCACGTTGATGTGGTCCCGTTTCTGGGTCTCCACTCCCCAGCCGCATTAGTGAGTGAATTCATAGTCTTCTCTCAGTTCTTGGTGTCTCTATGCTTACGGTAGAACTTTGGATATTGGCTTTAGCTCAACCTGTGACATTGGTATATGTACGTCTTCCCCACTCCGTTTATATGCATTTTGTACAGAACACCAAAAGTAAACAACAACTTAGGAATCTCATGTCCCAACATCTGCCTTCATCGATTCCTTGGAAATTTGAAGTTTCTATTGCGGAAAGCAAATCATAGAGCTTCATCTACAGTGTTGTAAACGTACAAGGAAACAAAGAAGAGTAATGACACTCGTGATCATTCTTTTTACAATTCACACCTACTAACACACAGTTAACAAACAAATCTAGCATTTGCTTTGCTTCGCTTCCCGAGCAATAATCAATACAGCTACATAAAGTTACAGATCTTGGAACGAATATGGATGCTGAAAAACCGAATCAGGCCATGGCTTGCAGACACCGGCCCCTCTGGCTTAGGTCACAATGGTTGCATCGGAGAAGACAACAATCACTGTTATGTCATCGTGGAACTGGTGGTGGCCCTAAGTCAATCTTTTCGAGATCAGAGGATCTCTCGCTTCTTTGCAATTCCATGCACTCCCACTAACACCCGAGTTGAGTACACATACTCCTATAGTCTATGATCATCTGAAAGCAATAAAGAGGCCTGAGTCTCACAGTGTAGGAATGATTGTGAACAATGTCAACGGTTTCTTTTGTTGCTCAAGTGTTCCCAGCTACCATCAGAAGCACAGATGATACAGCGATGCACTGTGATTAATGGCTTCATCTTACTGACTGGTTCACAGACAAAATTTTGTCAGACTAAGTGGTTACACATGACACACCAACTAAAAGAAAAACAAAACAAAGCTTAAAGCATTTCCAAGAGCTAGAGTGGTTAAAGGTTTATTACTCACTCTTGAGATGCTGGACCCACCGTGGCCGCCATAAAGTCCAAAAAAGGTGCCGTATGAACCAGAGTCGTGCGTGCTAAGATTGCCTGACTCGAGCTGGCTTTGGTCCTCAAGCAAGTTGTTGGCCTGAACAAGTCCCCCCAGGAGTCTCTGTACCACCAAAAACCTTCCAACTTTTTGTTGTTGTTGTCAACAACCGTAGACAGACTTCAATTTCTTCCACCACATTTTATCTTGTATCATAAGTCCATAACTATTGTCTGTGAGGTCTATTAGTGAAGTCAATATTGGTTTTTCAACGTTCTAAATTCCAACTTCTCCGGTTCCGAGTTGATTCTGTGGCAAATTTTACTATTTCGTCACCAAATATAACCCAGAATCCAAAAGAAATCATAAAACCAAGACCAACAAATAATAATTAGTTGGACAAACCTTCCAACAAAAATAAAAAAGGCACGAAACTCCTAAGTACATGGATAT